GAGAAAGCAAATGAATTGGGGTATTATTACACTGCCCATAAGGAAGGCATCTCTGCATACACGTTTGGCAAAGTTGCATTTCAATAGCAGCATTGCTATGGCATCCTTCAAGCTGTCCCTGAGGAAAGCTGCACTCTGCATAGCTGGAGAGATAGATAGCTCTGTCATTCCTTGCTTCATCTTCTGCATTGGATCTTAAGAGGGCAATGCTTTTTGCTTAGATGAAAATGTGTACTACGTGGAGACTAAAAGAGTCAGAYAAGGTATAGAGAGAAGAACATGCATATCAAATGTCAATTAAAAAAAAAAAAAATCTGTGGAAATAGAAAACAAAACAAACAACTCTCCATATATATCTGGGAATGCCTCCATGGCCATAAAGAGAATGTACATTACTATGCTAAAATAACAGATGATACATGTTTTGGTAATTAGAGCAGTGCCACAGACAGACTTGAGGTCATGTTTGGAAACACATTTGATAATTGTACTGTGTTTGGGGAACCGACKGTGCAGAAAGAAAATTCTTAGCATTTTAAACTAAATTTTTAGTCTATACAGCAGAGGGCACTAGTGTTATTGAATTGACCATAGAGTTGCTCTTTTGGTACTAGAAAAATGAAAAATATTACTTAGAAGACAAAGAGGTGTCAACAAAGACTAAAGAAGCTGGTTGATAGTCTCTGTTCCATGTGTGGGTTTGTAAAGTTAAACCTTCATRTGTCTCTAACATAAATAGGTACTGAATAGCAAATTACTTTAGTACAGAGCTCCAGATGAATATTTATGTATAGACCATTAAAATACTTCCATAACATTCTTCAAGGCTTTAAATTAGTTTTCCACTATGGGGTTTTTTGCTGGCTAWTTTTTTTTGCAAGGGAATTTCCAAGATATTTATTATCTAAAATTGCCCTGATATGAAATACCTGCACCAAGAGTTCCTGAATATGTAAGCTCAGAGCYGTGGAAAACCATCAGTATAAAAGAAAATACCTTTTTACTACATTGTTGCTGCCACTAGGAATCTTACTGCCATATGTTAGCCTCATGCAAAGCTCAATAGTTTGAAGTGAGGACTAGCAAGATATTGTCTAGTACATTTTCTGCTGGTCATGATCACTTTTTTGGCTCTTCAGCTCCCCTGTACTTTAGCAGCACTAAGTCCAGTTACTGTGGTCTTGTCCAAAAAACTGCATTTTGCTTGCTGCATTGCCAAGGAGGGAAAAAATTGAGTAGTGTAAATGCATCCAAAGTTAAATCAAATTGTGGCTACAAAAGCTAAGATTTGCTCTCACTGCCTCCTGGAAAATGTTGCAGARGGATGGCAATATAGATATTCTATACTTGTATATTAAACAAGAATAGAGACACAGAAAGACCAAACATACCAATACATGTGAAAACATATCTAGAACTTTGTATTCACATATCACAAAATGGTGATCCTGTCTTCAAAATTATAGACTCAGAGAAACCGTCAATTAGTCAGTAACCAAACTTATATTTGAAGTATGCACARATTTGAATTTTACAGAAACCTGACGGTGTTAGAATTCCCTGGAGGTCTTTGATAGATCGTGGTACTGAGGCATATGTTTGATTGAGACATCCCTAGCAYAGGACTTGGGAAAACAATAAATGTAAAAGCCACAGGCAATTTTGGCCTTCAGCATAAAGAGCTGTTCTACGTGAATGATTCATTATTTCAGTCAATAACCAAAACCAGAAAGATACAGGAAATTTATTTAAGRTAAAAGTGTTTCTTTCAAAAATTTTTTTGCAACTGAGACTTGGAAACATTTTGGTTTGGGTTAGAGAATATTTGCTAATGAGTCTCATAACTGGATAATGTATTTGTTGTAGTGATTTACTGTATTCAAGTAAAATTATGGGGGTTTTTTTCCCAAGGAGCGTATGTGTAGTGATGAAAAGAAAAGATTTGCTGGATAGAGAAGTAGGTAAAGGAAATAGTGGAGATACCATCAGGTTCAAGTAATTCAAACAGAAGCAGAGTGCCTTGGAGAACTTGCAGAATGGCTTGGGATCATCAGCTTTATGGAGGGTAGAAAAGAATTGTCTGAAGGGGTTTGGTGCATGCACTGTCTGATGTTGAGGGCCCTTGCTCTCCCATGACCTCTCTTATTTCTCTGTACTTTTTTGTTCTACAAACGCCATAGTTCTCCTGGTCCTCCAGGATATCCAGGATACAGGAATGAGAGCAGAGAGTCGCAAAAAGCAAAGTACAGAAACCAAATAGCATCCTACAGAGCTGGTCTTTAATAAAGAATGGCCCTGAGAAGATCCCTGTGGCTCTGCCACGCCAGCCTTGTGCAAGGATCACTGGCAGCTTGGAAGGCACAGAGCAGGCTGAGCTCCCATCCCAGTTCCAGTGGAGACAAAAACATTGCACCACTGCAATGGTAAAATAATTGGTTTGATGTGTTTTCAGTGTCTGTTCTATTACTTGTTAATGGAATTCGTTATTCAAAGTCCTTAGGGAATAAATTTTAGAAGAATTTTAAATATGGGAAAGGAAAAACAAACCATTGCACCAAAAAAAAAAATTAAAAAGCGACAAAAATGCTAATACAATCACACTATCACAGATGATTGTTAATTATTATTCAAGAGCAAAATTCATAGGTCATAGATCTTAACTAAGGACCCTAAAATTTATATGAGGCTCTAATATGATTCTTTTGACCACAACAGCAGATTTTTCTTCATAACAGTGTAAGAAAGATGGGAATCATGGCCTTTTCACCCATTTTTTTTAAAGATAGTTTCACTGCAGTTGGATTTTTGATGCAAGCRAACTTGAATTTTAGTGTTTGGAGTGTTCCTCCATCCATTCTCTTCAGCACCTCTGAAGAGGTAAGTGACCTTGTGAGCCTGCAGTAAAAAGGAAGGTGTGTAGARCAGCCACCCTTTATCAAGTCTAGTACATTATCCTAAATCCATGAAGCTGATGTTCAGAAGTGCAGTTGTTGGCAGAGRGAAGGGACGGAGGGATGGAGCAGTAACATCTAACACCACAGCCACAGGGCTATCCAGAGCTATATGACAGAAGTGTAAGCTGCAGAGAGAAAACTTGAGTGACTTGCTCAAGGTTGCAAAACACATTAGTTTCATGAATCTTTCATAACAAGAATGATGTTTTATAAATAGCACATACAGAGAGATCAAACATACAGATACAGCCCAGACTTTCTAGTTCCCTTCGCAGTTTTTTAACCATTATATTGGCTTTCTCTGCAGTAAATTATTAAAAGTGAGATGAGAGCACTTGCTAGCTCTGAACCACTATACAGGTTTTTTTTTTTTAAATGCAGAAATGAATTCTCAAAAACACATTGTCTGAATATGTAATTAGAAAAAAAAAAAGTTCCATTAAGTGAATTGCTGTGAGGTGAAAGTTAATACATTTTTCCTGGGTTTTGGGGATTTTTTTAAGAAAGATCTCT